TAGACCAAATTGAGGTATAATCCACCAAGATTTGTTTTAACTTATTTCTCAAAGACAAACAAACAAAACAACCAAAGGCAAATTTTAAACCTCATATTTTGTTATAGTATAGATGTAACACACAAGCAATATTTTCCATACAGTTTAATTTTGAGGCAGGCAAAACTAAGACTGCTGAAGATTAACCAGGATCTGTGGTCAGCACAGAGATATACTTTTCAGGATTTCCAAGACCATCTCAATATCTATCCATTGTCCATTTCACATGAACCTATCTATCCATTTTCCAATCAATGCAAAGGAAGTTAATTTCTGGATCAGTTTTACTCTAATACAGAGGTTCTCAACCTGTGGGTTGCCACCCCCTTGCAGGGGCCATATATCAGATACCCTGCATATCAGATATTTACATTACAATTCATAAAAGTAGCAAAATTATAGTTATGAAGTAGCAACTAAATAATTTTATGAATGGGGGGTCATCACAACATGAGGAATTTCATTAAAGGGTTGTACCATTAGGAAGCTTGAGAATCACTGCTAATCTATAGACAATCATTATCAAGCAGCCATAATCAGTGACAAGGATACTGAGCACAACACACGCAAAAAGTACAAGTTGAGAGTAGCTAGTATATGGTCTTCTCATGTACAGAACACTTTGTGCTTTCCACCCTGTTATTGTACCTCTAGATGGAAAAGCAAGATTTAGCCATCCAGCCTACCTGGCCCGGGTGGAAAAGGAATCCATGATGCAGAGATAATTAAACAGAAGTGCAAAGGGGAAAGCTGCCCCTTGATAAAGTGATATGGGATGGAGGAAGAAGAGCTGGAGCCAATCCATTATGAACCTGGAACACACTGCCTTCCTAGAGTTCTGCACTGGTGCCCTCCTGCAAGGGAAGTCACAGCCAGGCTCTCCCTGGCTTTTTTATGTCATGTAGAAAGGCCTGCAGAAGCCCTGGAGATAAGCAGTGTAAAGGTTGGCTTCCTGATAACGGGACCCAGCTATGGAAACCAAATCACATTGTGGTATTCTCTCACCTCACTGTGTTTACTGAAAAATGGCTCTCAGGGGTTGTACCTTGCAGGCAACATGGCATACTATTTGCCTTTCCAGCCATCAAACTTGACATATATTTTCTTCACTAAGTTAATGACACACACACACACACACACACACACACACACACACACACAACCTACTGTTGTGGACAAAGAGGCCTGGACTAAGGGCAAAAGGAAGGCAGATCCACAAGACAAAAAACCAAAAAACAAGATTCCTCTTCTCAACAACCTCTCTTACAGTGCCCTTTCTTCTGTAGCAGCACCACCTCCATCATGTACCTACTTCTTGATTAGTTTGTTTTCTGACCTTCATCACCAAAATGAGAGCTCTATAAGGGGCAGGACACGGTTTTGATTATTGCACTATTTCTAGCGTGCAGAATAGGGATACAAACCTATTTTCTATTCATTAAGCATTTATTGAAGTAAGGTTTGGAGGACAACAAAGTGTGGGGAGGAAACATTTGAAGAGAGTCTTTTGTTTGCAGTATGGGTAAAGCTGAGAGGACGTCCTCAAAGCAAGACAAGAGTGAGAGGCCATCTGTCAGCTAGTGGAGACCTGTCTGCTAAGCCCAGGACATTGCAAGACAACACAACATCATGTAATAAAGCACCAGTCACCCTTCTGCTCCGATTACTTTTCCCCATAAGCACTCATTAGGCTGAATTTATTTCTTTTACTGTTGTGGCGGTTAGAAAGAAAATGGCCCCCAAAGGGAGTGGCACTATTAGGAGGTGTGGCCTTGTCTTGTTGGTCTACGGAGATGGTTTAGCAATTAAGAGCACTGGACCATTTTCCAAAGGGGCCAGGGTCTATTCTCTGCATCCACATGGTGGCTCACAACTGTCTATGACTCCATTTCTCAGGGGATCTGATGCCTTCCTTTGGCCTCTGAGGTCACCAGGCATGCATATGGTACACATACTCATATGCAAGCAAGGCACCTATATACATAATAAAAATGCTAATACAGCTCATCAACTGAAAAAATAATAAGTCAAACAACAACAACATCAGACATACAAATCCCAATATAATGACATACTATACAACCAGACAACAAAACTTCTCCCAAAGTTGTTAATCCTCTGGTTAGGGCATTTAATGAAAGCAAGTAAGCTGAAGCCCCAGCCAGAGAACCCAAACTAATGATTATAAACATGGTCAAAGGCACAAACAGCTGAATGAAATAAGGAGGGGATGCAGGATATGAAAGAGGAGACAGAAATGCTGAAGAAAAAAAACTCTGAAATGTAGAGATGAAAAAGATAGTAAGTCTGTGGTAGTTTGAATGGAAAATAACCCCTATAGTCTACAGTATTCGGACACTTGGTCCCCTGTTGGTGGCGCTGTTTGAGGAGGCTTAGGAGGTGTGGACTTAACGGAGGAAGACATCACTGAAAGTGGGTTTTGCCACTTTCAATTTGCTTTTTCTGTTCTGTGTTTGTAGTTCAAGATGTGAGCTCTCAACTTCCTGTTCCTGCCACCATGTCTGCTGACTGTTGCCATGCATCAATTCTGCCATCATGAACTCTTTATATATATTTTATGTGCATTGGTGTTTTGCCATGGGTGTTATAGTCCCCTAGAACTGGAATTACAGACAGTTGTGAGCTGCCATGTGGGTGCTGGGTATTGAACCTGGGTCCTCTAGAAGAGCAGTCAGTGCTCTTAACCACTGAGCCATCTCTCCAACCTCCATCATAAGCCAAAATAAAGTTTTTCTTCCTTAAGTTGCATTTTGTCATGATGTTTTATCTCAGCAAGAAAAAAGTAACAGAGTTAACATATTCAAAGTTAAAAAACAAAAACAAAAACAAAACTTTGAAATGCTAGAATCCTAGGCATGGTGCCACATGCCTTTAATCCCAGCACTCAGCAAGCAAAGGCAGGAAGATCTCAGTGAGTTCAATGCCAGTCAGCCTGGTCTACAGTACCAGTTCCAGGCCAACAAAGGCTGCATAGTGAGACCCTGTCTCAAAACAACAACAAAAACCAACAAGTAACGCTCAGCAATAGAACAGACCAAAGAGAGGACAGAATATTTGATCTTGAAGACAACGTCAGTAATTAGAACAATCCAATAGAGACAAAGGTTAAATAGTAATTTTTTTTAAAGTATTAATGGAAATTCTAAGATCTACTCAACATTCTAAGTCGAAGTCTATAGGTTCCAGGTACACAAAGTGAAGAATATCATCCTAAATACATAAAAAAACATTTTTAAAAGAATTACAACAGGAAATGTCCTATGATTTTAGTGAGACAAAGGATGTAAGTGTTCCACATAGAGGAAGAGTTTAGGACAGTAGACCAGAAACAAACCTCCCTTGTCATATTGTAAAAAAGTGTATTGAAAATGGCAAAAGAGAAGCACTATGCCACATGAATAGGCAGGTCCATTACATAAACAGTGGTTTGTTCAACTGAGATGTTAAAAGCCGGAAGAGCTTGCAATGACGTATTTCAAATTCTGAAAGCTAAATAACTGCCATACCAGAATACTGCACCCACTAAAGCTACCTATTGTAACTAAAAGAAAAATTAAAAAACTTTCCATGACAAAAACAGACTAAAGGAACTCATGACCACTAAGCCAGCTCTACTGAAAATACCTGAAGGAATCTTTCAGACTGAAGACAGAAACAAATCCCTCCCAGAGACCACAAAAAAAAAAAAAAAAAAAAAAAAAAAAAAAAACCACAAAAAAAAAAAAAAAAAAAAAAAAAAGAATCAACCATACTAGACAAAAAGGTTAAGCAAGACAGAGAAAATAAACACCACTATAAAAATCAACAGAAATGACAGGAGCCATACATAACTCTAAGCAAACAAGCATGACCTGTGATCCTCCCTGGACTGGGTTTATGGATGTGCTCCTTGTTCAGTTCCATATGACTCTGGGAATGAACTCAGGGCTTCAGTGCATGCTAGGCAAACACTGTACCAACTAAGCCAAGTCTCTGGCCCCCATTAGGGCATTTCTTGGTGTGATTAGAATCCATTACCTAATTATGTTTAGGAAACAGATTTTCCCAGATAACCTAGGTGGGCCTGATTCAAGCAGGTGAAGGTCTTCAGGACAGCACGGAAGTTTCCCGGAAGCGGCAGCTTGGACTTCCAAATGAAAAGTCCCGGCTTGATCTACAGGTTTTGATCTTGCACAGCAGGTCCCTAATAAACTAATTCCTTGTAAAACCCTCATGATTCATATTTCCCGCTGGTTGTTTCTCAGAATGAATGCCGATTGATCATCTGGGATTTAAAGGATTAGAACAGTAGTTCTTGACCTGTGGGCTGCCATCCCTTTGAGAGGTCGAATGACAGGGATCACTTAAGACCATCGGAAAACACGGACATTTACAATACAATTCATAACAGTAGCAAAATTACAGTTATGAAGTGACAATGAAAATGATTTTATGGTCACCACGACATAAGCAACTGCATTAAAGGGTCGCAGCATTAGGTAGGTATGAGAACCACTGGATTAGAAGATCCCAGGGGTGGGGGAATAGCAGTAGTTAGAGGTGGAGAGTCAGCTTGATTTCTTGAAAGTGCGAGAAAGAAGCTTGAGACGACCGTGTCTCAGAAAAAGCCACATACACACACACACACACACACACACACACACACACACACACAATACATGAATGGAACGCGAGGTTTAAAAACTGGATTTGATGTTCAAAAGAGGTTTTGGTAAGAAAAGCCGTGGCTGGGGTTTGGGGAGTAGACTAGAGATTAAAGGTAGAGCGAGCTAACGATAAGGGACAGGGCGGCTGGGGTTAGATCAGACTTGGCGGAGCAAACACTGCCAAGTGGAAGAACGATTTCCTGGAAGACAGGCCCGCAGGACTTGCAGGTGGCTTTCTTCTGTGGCCGCAGGGCAAACCAAGCCCACCCGGACAAAAGCAAGCCGTCCGCCGTGCGCAAGCGCGAGCCCGTCTCTCAGGCCCCGCCCCTGCCGGCCGAGCCAGGCTCTGCAATCCGATGTAGAGATCATCGCTCTAGCCAGGCAGCGGGGTCGATCTCGGCTCTTCCTGAGACCCGGCCCTGACGATGGCGGAGAAAACTCAAAAGAGGTTTGTGTGCTGCTCGGCCAGAGCCTGCTCTCTGTCTCTCTCTCTCCGAAGGGGCGGAACTTGTTTCTGGTCGCACTGTGGGGAGGAAGGGACTGAGATGGCTGTCTCCAGAATCCCACACCTGGCCCGGGGTGGGGGCGGGGAGGGTTTGGTCCTAGAACCCGGCCCCCCCAACCCCAGCACTCCAGTGCAGACTCCCCGGCGGGGCTACGGGGACTCGGGGCGCTGTGCGAGCGAGACGCCGCCAGCGGTGGCTGCTCCATCGGCCCTGCCTCTCGTCCGGAAGAGGGAGGCCTGGAAAGATGTCACTCGAGCAGGCACCCTCTGCCCAGCAACTGAGAACCCGGGGGTGGGGTGGGGAGGGTGGAGGGGAGCTATGGCCCCTTCTGTCACGGTCGTTCATAGATGGGGACTGTCGGTGGGAAGAGACTGTGTGGGTGACAGAAAAGCGTACAGAACCATTTGCAACAGCAGCAGCCGTGTTGAGCACCCTCTTGTGTCAGACTTTTTTGTACTTTTTAAAAGCTTCGCTTTCTTTTTTTGAGACAGGTTCGCAGTATGTAGCCCTGGCATTTTTGGAACTCTCTAAGTGGACCAGGCTGGCCTTGAACTCACAGGGATTCGTTTGCCTCTGTCTCCTTTGTGCTGGAATTAATGTGTTAAGCCACTAGATTTATTTTTATTTTTCAAGTTATGTGTTTGTGCATGTGTCAGTGTGTAGGTATGAGCATGTGAGTGCAAGTGTCCCTATGGCCAGAAGAGGGCGTGGGATCCCATTGGGAGTTACAGGAGGTTGTGAGATGTCTGCAGGGTGAGGTGTTACTCTAATGAGGCTTTCTCTATCTCGGCAGCCAACTCTCAAATCATGACATGAAGACTTATTATTCATTATGAAAGCTCTGCCCATAGCTTAGACTTGTTTCTAACTAGCTCTTATAACTTAAATTAACCCATATCTATTTAATTTACTTTTCTGCCTTGTGGCTTTATTTCCTTTACTTTGTAATGCTATTGTTGCTTGTTCCATGTCTCCTCCTTCTTCCCAGCCACCTCGCTGCCTCAAAAATTCTGCGTAGCTATTGGCCTTACAGCTTTTGTTTGTTTGTTTGTTTTTAAGACAGGGTTTCTCAGTAGCTATGGAGCCAGTCCTGGAACTCTGTAGACCAAGGCTGACCTTTGCGTTCAGCTTTTTATTAAACCAATCCAAGTGACAAATCTTCACAATGTACAAAAAGATTGTTTCACGTTTCAGACTAAGGTTGTTTGACCAGAGCTTTCAACAGTGCTATATTTTACCACCAAAACCACTTAAATGAAAAGCATCTAATATATGACACTTAAAAGTGGTGAGCTGGGTGTGCATGCACCTTTAATCCCAGCACTCGGGAGGCAGAGGCAGGCGGATCTCTGTGAGTTTGAGGCCAGCCTGGTCTCCAGAGCGAGTACAAGGATAGGCTCTAAAGCTACACAGAGAAACCCTGTCTCGGAAAAAAAGAAGAAGAAGAAGAAGAAGAAGAAGAAGAAGAAGAAGAAGAAGAAGAAGAAGAAGAAGAAGAAGAAGTCAGCCTTGGTCTACATAGGGAGTTTCCATGCAGCCAGGGCAATATAAAGAAACTCTGTCTCAAAAACAAAACAAAACAGCAACAACAAAAAACACCACCACCAAAAAACCCAAGCCAAATAATAAACAAATAATGGTAGGTTATCCACAGAGAGCAGTTCAGTTATCACAGGACAAGATCTAGAGAGACAGGGTGATTCTCGGCAACTTTAGCTAACAGCTGGAGTACTGATGACAGAACAGTGACACCCAGGAATGAACTTTGCTTCAAGAAATTTTTGGTTTGAATGACACTGTCCCCCTGTGGACTCGTGTGTTTGAATACTTGGTCCCCAGTTGGTGGTGCATTTGGGGAGATTTAGGAGGTGTGTGGTCTTGTAGGAGAAAGTGTGTCACTGGATATAGTTGGGTTTTTTCTTTTACTCTTTAGGGGCCTGCCACCCAGCTCCCAGATAAATATACAGAGACTTGTTCTTACTTATGAATGCCCGGCCTTAGCTTGGCTTGTTTCTAGTCAGCTCTTCTAATTTAAATTATCCCATTTCTCTTTAACTTCATTTTGCCTCTGGGCTTTTTACCTTTCTTTATTCTATATATCTTTCCTTCTTACTCCATGGCTGGCTGGCCCCTGGCTTGATCTTCCCTATATTTCTCCGTGGGCCCCCCCCCCCCCCCCGCCATTGGTCATTCAGCTCTTTATTGGACCAGTCTATACAGTTGGGAGCTGCCATGTGGATGCTGGGAATTGAACTTCCTCTGGAAGAGCAATCAGTGCTCTTAACCACTGAGCCATCTCTCCAGCCCCACCCCCACCCAGTGATGGACTCTTATCCCATCCCTCTAGAATCTAAGCCAAAATAAAATTTTTCTTCCACAAACTGCCCTGGCCAAGGTGTTTCATTTCTAAAACAGAAAAGTAATTAGTACACATTTATTTATTTATTGTTTATTGTAAGTATTTACATGTATGGAGCCATACACACACGCAATAGTGTGCATGTGGTTGGTGGTCAGAGGACTGCTTGTAGGGAGTTGGTTCTCTCCTCCTACTGTGTAGGACCCAGGGATTGAACTCAGTTGTCAGGCTTGGCTGTAAGTTCCTTAATCAGCTCCTTACCCCACTGAGCCAGCCATCTTGCTGGCCCCAACACACCTTCTACAACAATACATTTTAAAACTTAGTTTTATTAACTTGGATTCCAAGTATTGGTCATCAGGCTTGCATAGCAGTGCTTCACCAGTGGAGCCATCTCGCCAGCCTGCAATAATTTAAACCTTACTCAGGGTGAGTGTTACCTTTGTCTTCCTACAGTGTGAAGATTGCTCCTGGAGCCGTTGTGTGTGTAGAAAGTGAAATCAGAGGAGATGTAACCATAGGTAAGAAAACTGTAAATGTTGTTTCTCAAGACTTAATGCTGTGTTATTGATGTTAGTGCTTCACCTTTAAGTCCTGTCTTCTATGTTAGTTTCACTGGAGCTTGCGATTTTTTGTTTTGTTTTGTTTTTAAAGTTATTTACTTCTAGTAAGTGTTTAATACTTAACAAAACAATATGATGTTTGGAGGCTGTGTTTGAATTTCTGTGTGAGAGTTGCTAAGCACCCCAACTGACAACAGTAGGCACCCAGAATATCACTGCTATTTAGAGATACAAACTTTGGAATGGTGAGGTGTCTGAATCACCCCCAAGAAACACTTTGCAGGGGCTGGAGAGATGGCTCAGAGGTTAAGAGAACTGACTGTTCTTCCAGAGGTCCTGAGTTCAATTCCCAGCAACCACATGGTGGCTCACAACCATCCGTTATGAGGCCTGGTGCCCTTTTCTGGTGTGCAGATATACATGGAAGCAGAATGTTGTATACATAATAAATAAAATCTTTTAAAAAAAAAGAAAGAAAGAAAGAAAGAAAGAAACTTTCCAGGCTGTGAGATGCAGCTGAAGGAGGAATGAGAGGGACAGAGAGGTGACTGGGAAGAGGGCAGCACTGGCTTGCACTCCTTCAGGCCACACCTATCCTTCAGACTCCACCCTCCACCAGTTTGGAAGCTGCAGCCAGTCCCCAATGGAGGATGCTAGGTGTACAGGGCTCTTAAGAGAAGCCATCCACTGTCTAGGTGTGTACCTGGTGTAGACAGAGTTTCTCTGTCCTGACAGTCATTTCCAGATAATCTCACAGAGACTTATTTGATTTGAAAAAGAGCTGTTGCTCACCTGCGATTTGCACTGCCGGCTCAGAGCCAGAGTAGTAAGCTGAACAGACAAAAGAACTTGCTTCTGTTCTGCATGTGAGGTGAAATCTCTGAAACTGTTTGCTGTTAGTAGCGTTGACTCTCAGTATAGCCTTGCCATCGCCAAGACCAAACCAGCCCAGCACATGGCCAGTAACTTAGTTCATCACTCAGTCCCCAATACTACCCAATTCTTTTTTGTGAAGTCCGTTTCCCAGACACTAGTCCCTTGCAGCACTCATCAGCCATAGCTGCCTGTCACCCACACTGTCACAATAGCATTTCTGTTCCCAAACAGCAATAGTTCCTTGGTTTGGTTTGGCTTTGGGTCTTGAGACAGGGTCTCACTGTGTAGTCCTGTCTGGCCTTGAACTCAACAGATGTCCACCTACCTCTGCTTCTGAGTTTAAAGACATGCCTCACCAGGCCCATCAATAGTTTCTTTAATGGGATAAAATGCCATATTTCTCTCATTATAAGTCAAAGAAAGCCTCCAGCCAGTTTATGTGTCTTGTCATATGGCACCAGTGAAGACCATGCCACTATTGTAGGACTTTGGAATGTGGCCTGTTCACTGATTCTCAGCTGGCAGAATTTGGTAGATGACTGTGTTTCTTTTCTGGGCTCTTCACTTTCTGACTTCAGCACAGACTTTCTGTGAGGAGAGAGTATGAGCTGGGACCCACTGAGATGCTCATCCATGTTTTTCCTCACCACCAGTCACAGTGTCTGTGACTCTCATCATGACTCAGGAAGAACTCAGTAGCTCACAAGGTGTCCTGTAATTAGAAGAAAAGTCAGACTAAAGAAATAATTTACTAATAAAGTAATGTGTGTAGTTAACTGTGGACAACTTCCCTTGTATTTCTACTATATGCGCACAGTGTTAGCTGAGGCCAGTGCCCCTGTAACTGGAGATGTCTGTCTGAGGTTGTGAGTAGTCCTGCGTGTACTGAGCCATCTCTCCAGTCCCCCAAAACAGGTTTTAAATGTCCTTTCAATCTGACATTTGGTCACTAGTTGATAGTATACAGTGAGAATATTAAATAGGTTAGGTGGTGTTTACAGATTTTTAGTGATAGATTATAGCATAAGAAGTTTTGAGACAGTCTCGCTATGTAGATCAGGCTGGCCTGAACTCGTAAAGAACCACCAGCCTCCATCTCCTAAGTTCTAGGATTAAAGGCATGTACTAACACCTGGCCCTAAGTGGTTGAAAAAAATCGTTTTATTAATCTTTTGAGAATGTTGCACAATGTGTTTTGGTCATGTTCATACCCACTCCCTCAGAAGTGATAAAAAAAATCTTTAAGGAAAAAAGCTAGAATGATTTGATGTTTATCAACAGTGAATTGTTTTGTGTATATTATATGTGTGTGTGTATTAATTACACACATATGGTGGCATCAGACATGTGCTAAGCATGCCCTGAGCATGCTTACATTTATTTCAGAAACAGTTCTGGTTATTTGGTTGTTTTGGGGGGTTTTGTTGTTGTTGGTTTTGGTTTTTTGTTTTTCGAGACAGGGTTTCTCTGTATAGCCTTGGCTGTCCTAGAACTTGCTTTGTAGACCAGGCTGGCCTTGAACTCAGAGATCCTCCTGCCTCTGCCTCCTGAGTGCTGGGATTAAAGACATGCTCACCACCGCCTAGCAAACAATTCTGTTTTTAAAGCAAAGAAAAGATGCAAGACAGTGATGTAGTTATAGTGTTGTGTCTCCCACAGTTTCATCTCATATTTATTACGGATGTTTCTTCTCTTTCCCCCACCCCAGATTCAGGCCTTATGTTGGTTTAGTTGTGTGTACAAATAAGGGTTTTCCAGGGTTTGTACTTAGATTGCCGTTTCTGTCATTGTTACATTATCTTCAGTCTTTTGACAGCTATTCATTTTTATTGAAATAGCACCTCTGATTCAAACACTCCTGGGAGACACAATTACCAAGTTAATCAGAGCAGAGTTATCTGGTTCCAGCTTTTCTGCCAGGTCTTAATTGTCCTTTTTAAGCCTTTTGTTTTATTTTTGCTCAGGTTACTGGCTTTAGTTACTGTATATCCTTTCTGTTGTGTGGAGTTGGCAGTTTGGGCACTTGATAAACTGCTTACCAGAGAGTTCAGGAGCAGTAAACACAACTGTGGTTTGGTTGATCCACTGTTGGGGTGCTCCATGCACAGGCTGTCCATCTTTTTACACCTTTACTAGTTTGGAGAGTACAGGTTTTTCTTTTGCCATGTTTCAAGTTATTAGAACCTTAAATCTGATCTGCAGTTTTCTAGAAATTCAGTTATTTGCTGTATCATTGAAATTGATTAAAAGTGTAAAGCATGTGTGTGTGTGTGTGTGTGTGTGTGTGTGTGTGTGTGTTAGGGTTGAGCACACTGTCTGGAAATGAGCAGGTTCATAAGAGAGAGGGGAGGGAGGAAGAGAGGGAGGGTGGGTGGGTAGGTTTAGGGGTGGATCATGGAAGTCTAGTCCTTGTCAGGAGTGCTCTGGCTTACAGCTCTGGGGAAGCATACACCCGGCCCAGAGTGTGCTCAGAACTAAAGAGTCCTGCTAATTTCCATAGCATCAAGCCTGTTTTGCATTAGACTGCTAAAATTATTTTCTGTAAGTCCCCCTTTGGGAGCTGACTAGCATTTGAGGAAGGCCCCTAGTGTAGTTCTCGTCCCTGTGCCTATGAGGGTGAACTCCTGCTGTGGGCATTAGAGGGGCAGACTGGGCACAGTGGGAAACTGCCCCACTTAGCCTCTCTCCCCAGTGGCTCTCACTCAGACCCAAAGCTTCCCAGCTGGAGTCTTTTTCAGATCGCCAAGCAGTGGTCACGGGAGTTGTTTAATTTTCTAAAAAAAGAGCTTGGGTTTATTTAAAACTATTTATTGATATATGAAAATGCACCCAGAGATTGCTGCCCCTGGCAAAGGTGAAGAGCACCCTTTACCAAAAGAGGGAAAGGGAGACATGATGCAGGAATGTCTTCCTGGCCATGCTCCGGAAGCCCGGCCAGCCGTTTAGAAAAATAATTCATCCGCCAGTTAAGGCAGCTCCGACTCCAGACACATTTGTCCAAACAAGGAGATAAGCCAAAGAGGTTTTCAGCACACTCAGTAAGAAAATACACAAACTGCCCTGCCAGGAGTAGTGCCAAGAAGGTCCACACCGGAGTTAAATGGGGGGAAAAGGAACTTTGCATGGTAACAGGTTTGGGGGGGCATTTTAACTTTAAGACCCTTATAAACATGGCTCTGAATCAGACCCGTTCTAGGTAAAAGTTTTCATTACACACAGGAAAACCCGGAGGAGACTACTGGAGCATGCTGCTGCTAAGGCTGTCAGGCCTGCCAGGTCTCCCCTCTGCAGCCTCCAGCGTGAAACTGCAGACAGCTGCGCCTCCTTACCGTCTCCACACCACACTCTTAGCTGTCACATTGCTTTGTGCTAGCTGCACTCTCGGACTGTTCAATTACTGCTGCCCCTGACGTTTGCTTTCATCTCTCAATTCAAAGCAGATTGGTTTACCTCGGGTTCTTTCAGCCCCTGTGCCACAACCTGCAGTTAGGCCACGATGCCAACAGGTGGCAGTAGTGTCAAAATCAAAGGCCTCACCTAAGCTGCCATGTATATTAGCTCCATGGGAAAGTCCCTGAGATTTATAACCAGGTGTCTTCCAGTTACCTATTAGTAACTAATGGTTAACAAATAATAATGGCAGTAATAAAACACCAGTTTAAACTGCTCAGATGCCAAGCAGTGGTGGTACATGCCTTTAATCTAGGCACTCAGGAGACAAAGGCAAGAGGATCTCGGAATTCAACGGTAGCCTGGTCTACATATGGTGTTTCAAGCCAGCAGTGTCTTTACTTGTTGGGCCACTGTGTCAGCTCTTGAATGTCACCTTAAGAACTGGGTGTCGGGTCCTGTGATGTCCCTTTCAAACACTGTTTCTTGCAGCCCCGTTTCCATTCAGTGAGGTGACTGTTAAGGATCTCGTCCTTTTATAGACGTGAAAGTGGACCCTTGAGAGAGGGCTGGCACACACATAGCCTGTGAGTGACAGAACCCAGAGACTAGACTTTCTAGACAAGAGTGGGTACTGTCTGGGACTCCAATTACAAAGAACCTAAAATAGACTGTGGCCCTATATTTTGAATATTTTGAAACAAAATAAAAATCCATATTGTGTCAGCTATAGCTCTCCATTGGCTCATACCACTGGAAGATGTAGAACTTGTTATTTCAGAGAATCCAGTATTTGTGATAGCATTGTTGAGCACCTGGAGATTATAACTGTCTAAGCGACCATTATTGGGAATGAGTTAGGGAAGTGATAGTGTATTAATGAAATGTGAGATGTTTTGTAGCCATTAAAAGTTGTTAGAATGCTTTCCTCCAAATTTTATTTATTTTTAAACTCCTTAGTGTTTTTGTATATACTGCTATTTCATACTTGACTATGCCTTGGGACTGTGTCCTGTTTTGGCCCCACCCTCATTATCAGTTCCCCCAGTTCTTCATCTCAGGAAAAAGAATGAACTGCACTGAGCTCCCTTCCAGACCTCTAGTCAAGTCAGTGCACTAAGTAGTACCAGTTTTCAAGACAAGCTCAAATAGGCAAAATAGCTTGTGTTCTGTCTCACACTCTGTGTGTGTTTGGGGGGGGGGGGGGATTGGTGCTGGGGACCTACCCAGGTCCTTGTCATACTCCCCACCTACTCACCAACTGAGCTGCACTCCTGGCCCCCATATGCTAATGTGTTGTTGCCCTGTAACATACCGTATCGAGTCTTGCCTTTTATAATCCAACAGTGACTTTTTAACTAAAAATTAACAGTTTATACCACAGAATCCTGGGAAGTGTCACCTCTGCTCCCTTGACCCTTCTGTCCACCTTCCTTTCCAAGTGAGTTACTTCTTGTCAAACAGAAATCGCCTTGAGTAGTCCAGCAGTCAGTAGGCAGGGCGGAGTCCAGGCCAGCCAGGTATACAGAGTGGAACCTGCCTTAGGAGACAAAACAAAACTGAATAAGGAAAGGAAAACAGCTTCAATGCTGAGATAAGAGCAGGTGGGTGTGAGGCTGAAGGAAGATATGTTTTGTTATCAGTCATTTCATTATCACCAAAATACTAGGCCTGGAGGCAGATGAGAGAGAGAGAGAGAGAGAGAGAGAGAGAGAGAGAGAGAGAGAGAGAGAGAGAGAGAGAGAGAGAATGTGTACAAGTGCCCACTCACTTCCATGAAGTTCTCCAAGAGTGCCCTCCTCGTACCTTAGATTGAGACTGGAGGTGTCTCAGATCTCCCAACCTCATTCTGAGTGGCCCAGCATTCATCTTTAGCTCCTCTTGCCTGCATCCTCTTTATTTAGTACTTGAACTGTCCATGGCATGCCCTGCCTGCTTCCTGTGAGCATGCCTGTAGTCAGATAGCAACAATAGAGCAAGGCTGAGGACCTCGTGTTTCCAGACTTCTGTCCACCCATGGACAGAATGTTGGTGTTGAGACAGGGTTTCTCTGTGTACCCTTGACTATCCTGGAACTACCTTTGTAGACCAAGCTGGCCTAGAACTCAGAGATCCTCTTGCCTCTGGAGTTGCTGGGATTAAAGCTGTGAACCACCACTGCCTGGCTGTGGACAGGATTTTAATCACAAGGTAAAAGATAGAAGTTCTGTGTTACAAGCAGAGTGTCTGAAGGAAAGAAAAGATGGGAATTAGTTTTATCGTTTTATCACCATCTATGTGTCACACACTGTCTTCAGTGTCATCACATCTGACCCTTCCCACAGTCCTGCAGGACTGCTCTTGTCACCCGCACATCCTGTGGAGGTCACAGGAGGTTGAAGCTGGAGGCTGAACTGCCTGGCTCTGCTGCGCGTGCCCTTCCACTCACTTTGCCTCTAGGTTTGGCACTAACCGATGCTGATAACAACTGGAGATAGTTCTTGTAGGGCACCTAGCATGGTGCCTGGCACAGACTTGGAAAATGTTCCTCCCAGCAGCCTCACCCACCTCCTTCACCTCCTACCCTCCTGCTGGAAGCACAGCCTACCCTGATAATTTCTTCTCACCTGCTCCCTTTCACAGGCCCTAGGACAGTGATCCACCCTAAAGCACGAATTATTGCGGAGGCCGGGCCAATAATTATCGGTGAAGGTAACCTCATAGAGGAGCAGGCCCTCATCATAAATGCGTGAGTAAGATACCACGTGCTCCGAACTGAGCACCACAGGGAGTGTTTCCACACTGTCAACTGTCCAGAGCCTTTTACAGCTTAGCTCAAAAAAGTACACTCTTTCAGAG